GTGTACAGAGGTGAACTTAGGAAGGATTCATCCTCTTAACATCCAGCACATCCAAATACAAGGGAGAAGGAGACACTTGCATTTAGGGTATTGTTTCTATACACCATCAAAGATATAACAGCAAGGACAAAAGTCGACATGAGTGGAAGGTTATTTCCCATATTCACCTTATAGCAACCTTGATGCAGGGTATTTTCAAGGGATTAATGACCAGGCCAGTTTAATGGCTCTCTGCTGAACTTCAGGCTATCAACTTTTCACTGCCTATCATTAATCCCTAGAAAATATCTAGGCTCATGATAGATATGAGTGAAAAATAATACAGAGTGTGAAGGTAAGTATATTGGTATATGTATTGGTGAAGGTGCTTCATCCTGTACCAGACCTTGTTGCTAACTTCAGTGCACTTCAGACTGCAAGTAAATTAGCTACGGCTTAGGTTACAGTGTAATCACAAAGCTGCTTCACTGCGCTCCTATTTATGTAGTGCATAATTGCTATCTTCTCTGGCTGAAAGCTGAAATCATGATATTGCTGTCCCTCATGCTTCATACTGGGATGCACTGCACAATACTGTGTTTTGAAGGATATCTGTAACAGGCAGGAGAGAGGACAAACACCTAGTGGGTAAAAGTCCAAAGAAAAAAGAAATATGAACCATCATACATCAGGTCCCAGGTCATGGACTGTGAACAAGCCATTATGTGGGTTGTTCTGACTGGAAGGATGGAAAGGAGAGCCCAGACATTGACAGCAAGTTGTGCTTCCTCCTGATGTGATCTGGGGTTGGGAGTCAGCACTGAAAGGAGCTCCCTTCTAGCTTCACATTGTGACTGGCACATGGCTAGGACCCATCAGGCATCATCAGAGATGGTTTGAGGCTCCCTCTTGCTACCAGACTTGAATGACTTGTGCTTTTAAGACATCAATCCTGACAACACCAGGGAATGCAGCCCCTGTGGGCAAGGCTTTAGCTTGTGGATTTTCCCTCCATCTGATGTAGCAATGGTGAATGCATGTGCACACAAGGTAGGGGCTATCTCAGAAGCACATCAGAGATTTCCTTCCTGATGCTGCCTCTGCAGGAGCAGGCCTGCTGTGGTCTCCATTAGACTTCAAGAAGTGCCAAAGAAACCCTACAGTCTGCTGGGAGAATGAATTAGACTTGGCAAGTTTGCTAAACAAGTGCGTATTATACATAGTATTCATGGGTGATAGGCGGAATCTGTGGTTTTACCACTTAATAATACATGGATCCTCCTCGATTTTTTTAGGATCTCTCTCTGGAGTTGTGTTTTGTGATCAGGTGGCATAAATAATGGCCAGGGATGATTACATGCTGATTAAAAGCTACTTAATAATCCCATCTGTCCAAGAAGGAAACACTAAGCCCTTCAATATGAAGGAAGTACTTGACCCTATTTCATTTCAGTTGTATCAGTTCATCTGCATTGGCTGGGAAACACTAATTCACCTAAATGAAAGCTTCTGGTGTGATTTTAATAAGCCTTTGCAGAGAAGCACTTTCTGCAGTGCCGGACATGTGGTCTCTGAAGAGAAGGTCCATTGTAGTTACAAAAGATAGCTGACTGGGGCATCCTCTGTGAATTCAGAGAAATCAAGATGTAAATGTCTGTCTTGAACACTGGGAGGGACTGTTATATTTGAAGGGCAAAAAACTCCATGTCTGTGCTGTAGACTTTCCATGAATTACCTAGTCCCTGCTGAAAGAGGAGTGGTGTGGTTCCATTGAAACTTTCCCTGTCTGGCTTGTGCGGTAACAGCTTTCTTAAGCTGTCCAGCAGAATTGTGTCTTGAGTATCTGACTAAAATATGATCTATAACTCTTAAATAACTTCCTACTACTTCAGAAGTGTTGGAATAGGGGAAAATGTGCTTTTAAAAAGCGTAGAAACAGCATGCGATGATAGCCAAGTTCAGTACCATGTTAATGTATCTGAATAAGGTAGCGTAAAAGGAGAAGAGAAAGTGAAGTCATTAGAGGAAGCATTTTCAGTCCAAATTCATCAGTAATGCCCAAGTTGAAGAGATGCAGAGTTTGTTTCAGAAAGTAGTAACATAGAAACAAACATAAATGCTAAAAAAAAAAAAAGGAAAAATCATTTTTAAATATTGCCCAAATTTGTGCCTTTTTGGAGGTCCTTTCCTTTGCATAAATATCCTAACTGTTTGATTGATGAGCTAAGGGTTTGCGTATCTCAAGCTGTGTCAGATTGTGTTTGTTTAAGCCTCTAGACTCCTCTACTCTTGTACTTGTTGGAGGCTCAGCCTATTCAGGTTGAGTTGCAGGACAGACACCATAGCAGGGTCACTCCTCGGCAAGTGCTTGGCTCTGCAGGATGATGGGTTGTGTGTTCTTCAAGGGGAATTATCACCTGTGCCAGAAGGGACTTGACCGTGATGTCATGTCCCTTCTGGGGACATCCCCTTTACCTGTGTATGTGAATTACTTGGTGTCAGAATCTACCTGAACCTCTCTCCAAATATAAACAGCAGCAGCAATACTTCAGTGAGTGCCAAAGCAGACAGCAAATCAAGTCTTTGCTCCTGAGCTGCACAGCCATTATGGGAAGCTTTGCTGACAGTTACGAATGTCACTCATCACAACACCCTTGCAGGGTTCTGATAAGCCTAAATAGCACTGGTTTGTAGTCAATGTCACTGTCTCCACAGAGGGTACAAAGTCTTTTAAATTCATTCCTCAATGTAATCTGAATGCACCTGAATTGTCTACTAGGCATTTTCTGAACACATCAAAATAAATGTGGCATCAGCTGCAACTGGAGCTGTCCTTCTGAATACTCTCTTGTGCTGTCTAGAATGATTGCACATTCAAACATAGATTGGTACCTCAGTTTTTGGCTTCTTTGCTTGTTTTGCTTGGTTTTAATATGGTTACTACCAAGTTACCTCCGTTCACGCATGGTTCCAGACTTCTCCGGCATCCTCTTTGCTGAAGGTTTTAACTGGCAGTATAAAATAAGAAACACTGAAGCTGTGTGAGATGAGCTCAAATCTACAACTCTTCACAGCTGTATATTTGAGTTCATCACACAGATTGCAGATTTGAGACCCAGCAGTGCTGTGTCTCCCAGCCTTGCTCACCAGCCCTGCTCTCAAGCAGCCTGTGTTGCTCCTTTCCCAGGCCAAGACAATGCCATGTGTGGCAAAGCAACATCTTGCACAATGGGTGATGGTAGAAAATGTCCCAGCATCATGACACTCCACTATGTGGACTGGTCACTGCTTTATCATTCTGTTAAAAAGGGAGGTAGGAAGACGTACAAATTTTGCCACTTGAATATGTTGAAATAGTTAAAATCCTCCTCCATGCCTTTAAATTTAGGAAGCTAAATATATAAGGAGGGGGGAAAGTGAGGGAAACTATTAATAAGAAATTAGTATGTGGGATAAATCTAAATCTAATCCATGGTGCTTGTCACACCTTCCCATCAAACACTGCTCGTGCCTCACTGGCACATGGCTGTGGGGAGTGCTGTGCTGCTGCCTGGTCTGTTGGCTGCTTTTGTGGCTGTTAGGAATGATGGTTCAGCATTACAATCAGGCTCTTGTAGAAGTTCAAGCAACCCTGGAAAAAATGGGTAATATCCTCTAATAAGGTCACAAGTTAATGAAACATAAAAGACATCCAGTAATTGCACTCCAATGGAAGTGTTAGCGGTCATCCTTTCATATCTGATATCCCAAATATGTCCCATGTGCACAGTACATAGGTTTATGGTACAAAACTCACACCTCTCGACTTTCCTACGTAGGTGCTTTCCAGAATTAAGCATGCATGTAAATATGAATATCGTGTTCCATTTGGCACACAAATCACAAAATTAGATGCACAGGCAGCTTCTATTCCTTCACAAGAGCTTCTTCTAATGGGTATTTCATATCGCAGCAGTCTTTTTTAATAACTGAAGATGTTCTTAGGGAACTTTGAGAGGTTCCCAAGTCTGCATTACAGCTTGAGCCTGCAAAGTGTAGAATTCATGGGATTTGACTCAACAAAGCATTTCTAAGGCTACTCACATGCCTAAAAGTGCAGAATTATCTGGCATTGCTTTGCTGCATTGATTAGTGAGATGTGATCAGAGATGTGAACCTATGGTGGGGCAGGAAGCAGGCCAGCCACCACCGACAGCCAGTCATAATCACCACAATTGTATTAAAACAGTCTGGATTCCTATGTGATAGAAATAGTGTCGTAATCTTAAAGATGGTATATGGTGCTGTGACAGGAGGTTGAGTAGGTTAAATGAAGTCACTGCTCAATGTTAGAAGACTTCCGAATCTGTAAAGAGCCACTTATCCAATGTAGCATGGTGTCTCTTTGCCAGAGAATTTGTATAGATAGCTGGAAAGAAAGCCTTTTTATTGAAAATATTATCTGTATTAACAAAGTTTTATGACCTAAACAGCTTGTTTTGGGTTTCTGCTAGACAAAGAGCCCTACATCAGCTCTCTCAGTAAGGGCAGCTGAGGATCTGGGTCATTGTTCCTAGAATTAACTGATACAATCTGATGGGAAGGTATGAAAATAATCATGTCAAATCATTGCCACATCATTCTCAGCTGCTTTGAGGCTCATGGGCCCATGCAATTGGAGGTGTGGGTCAGGCTGGTCCAAACCATTGAGGATGGCAAAGAAACTGTGTGGCACACAGCTACTTGTGATTGGCCTGGAATAAAAAGCTAAAACCATGAGCTGTATTACCATGTACATGGAGCCAGGACTAGAAACCATATGAGGATAAATTCCTTACTGAATAGAAAGGCAGCATTACCCTACACATCCCAATGGGCAAATGTAAACTCCTTTCATTTTCTACAAATATTTTTAGTGAGTAGAAGAAAGCTCACAAAAGGCAGAGTGGAAAATGCTCAGGACCTTCTATGCTTTTTGTTACTGCAATACCATAGATATACTTGACAGAAATGAAGAGTATTGGAAACACAGCAACAAAAGCCTAAGTATATTGTTCAGATTTTTTTTTTTTCAGAGAAAATACAAGATAAGGATAAAATTTAAGTCCTCCTGAATTCAGCAGCCAAAGACCATTATTCTTCAGTGAACAAAAGATTTCAAAGAAAAGATTTTGTACACAGAGATAGAAGTGATCAAATTTTAAGAGTACAGTGTATTTATGAAAGTATTTTTACAATCCATTCTTTGCATACAGTGCCATGATAAAATACTATCTGATCACATAGTACTGTTACAGCAGAGAAAAATCAGATTTGGGTGATCTGCCTGAAGAGTTCTTCTTTTTATCCAGTCACTTGGAGCTAAATCCACAAAACACTGAGGATTCAGCCACGTGATGCCATGCTCAGCATCCATGGCTCTTGGGCAACAGCTACTTATCGTAAAACATATCACTGCTTGCTGCTAGAATCCAGATCTTCCCAGCTCAAAACTATCACCACTGAATAAGAGCTTTCCATGTGGCTTCAGCTCCAGCTCTGCATCACTAACCTGGGGAAACTATTTCATGCACCAGGACGGCATGAAGCCACCAGGTATTCCAGTGCTAGCAATAGGGAGGTGTCTAACCCGGCCCAAACAAGGAGGGGAGGCAGCTGTGTTTGGATTCCCTCCAGGGTGGATGCAACACAACCAGGGTAAAGAAGTATGGCACAAGGTCACAGCTCTAAAACAGTGTTTAAAATCATTAATCCCAAGTAATATGAAGCACAAAGTAAGCAGGCTGGATTGCAGAGAGGGCTGTGGTTTAATGTACAACTATCCATGGTATTTCCCCATTTTCTATCAGGAGGGCACCTGTGCTCGGCACCCAATACCTGTGCTTTCAGGTACCTAATCTGGGGCAGTGAATCCCATTTCAGCTCTGGCATGCCTCAGCATTACTCACCAATGCAATGATGCCCATAGCTCCTCTGTGCTTCAGTTTTCCATTGTATGATTAATTAATAGTAACAACACTTACTGCCTCACCAGGGTGTCGTAAAGAAAAAGCATGCTAAAAACAGTAAGGCACTCAGATACATAATAAGGATTTTGTAATCTCCTAAGGAAAACTTTAAAGAACTGATCAAATATAGTTCAAAGTTTAAGCCCTCTAAGACTGAATTTCTGTCCCAGATAATTTCAGTCCTGGAAGAAAGACTCCTGCAGCATGCTGGCCTTGTTATGCTGACATCTGCATAACATCACCTTTATCAAGGCATTTTGCTAATGCAGAGGTCCCCGAGTAAGTCCCTGGTCAAGCTATGACGAGCCACATTAGTTCCTTCCTAGGATGCTCTGGCCAGAGGAACAGGCTGCCTTGCTGCCACCGAATGCACAGATATGTACTGCCCTTGCTCTGCTCACACAGCTCTCTCATGTTGTATTTAAAATGAGTGTAAAGTCTAGTTTACATTTCCATGAGCCAGAGGTGCAAAGCACAGTGCAGCTGCCAGTGGAAGGCAGCACCATATCCCTGGGATGATTCCAACACTGCAGCCAAAGAGAGTCAAAGAGTTTTGACTGCATGGTGGGAAGATCCAGCCACCACAGTACTCAATGCAAAGCCTGTTAGGCTGCTGGAAGAGCTCTGCATTGATTTTGATGGCCACTGGCCTTGCACTACGTAGAGGTGTAGTACAGATACTGAACTGTGTCCTAGCACTTTACAATAAACCAAATTTGTTTCTGTTCTAGTCTTCTACAACAAAGAAGAGAAGTACATGGCAGAACATAGAGCAAACTTTAAAAACCTAGTGTGATTTCATAGCTGGCATCCACTTAACCCAGAAATAATATCCCATTCAGCCCATGAAAACAGGTTTAAACCTCAATTATGCCATTCACTTCCTTCTTCGGTTCTTCTTGTTCCTCTCTCAAAGGTTCCAGCTCAGGCCCATCCTGTGTGGTTTCTTTGATCCAGTTATTTCTGCCTTCATTTTCTGTCCTTACAGTTTTAGGATCCTCTTCTTTTGCTTTTCTCTCCTTTTCCTCCTTGGCAAGCATGCGATAATTATAATAATTCATGATGAACAGAAAGGTTCCTGCCAGGACCATCACAACTCCACATTTAATGAACATGTATTTATAGTCCCCAAAGGTATCGATAAGCGTTCCTGTAAAAGATACATATATAAAAAAAAGGAGCTTAGAGATGAAGGTAAGAATATTGTGGTTTAGGATCCTAAAGGACACCCTTGTGGCTTTTGGATAAAATAAGACATTCTTCAGACTTCTGATCTCTTCCATAAATATTCTGATCCTTCAAATACTTCACATGTTCCACTATATATCCTTTGGGTAGTCAACACTGAGATAAGTAATACTACCAATAATTTGTGCAGTTAAGTAGAAGGTGACAGGAAACCTACACTGCAAAGTCTGGACTTTTCAGCACATCTACTTTTCCCATGCAGAAACTAATCCTCTCATCACAGAGACAGTCTTTCCATTGACTCTGGTGATCACCTACAAGGATGTTCATTTGAGTTGATAGCCATCAGGCTGACAGCAAAAGCATCAGCTTTTGGGAAGACCTTCATGAGATAGCACTTGGCCACTCAGTCTCATTTTACACTCCTGACAAAGACCCTCCAATTTATTCCACCACTGCTCATTCACCAGCACTAGAGGGGACTCATCTTTTGGTCACAGCTGACCTTGCTGCATTTATACTCATGATGTAAAGATGAAAGGGCACTGTGTGGAACTGGAAAACATTAGTTCCAGGGAATGCAAAGATGATGCTGTCAATGTCAGATAATTTCAATGCCAAGACAAATGCGACAGGTTCTTCTCAAAGGTTAATGCCTCTGCCATGGAGTTGTAGAGTAATTGAAGGGAGAAGGCTTAATTGAAATGTCACTGTTCTCCATTATGTCAAAATGTAATGAAAATCTTACTGGGATTATGATCCTGAGCATTAATTCCATTTACTGGTGCAACACCAACCATTCTTAACATCCCAAATCCTAATTAAGGTAAGACCCACTCCTAACCTGGCCTTCACAGTACAGATCAGCCCTCCTTGAAACTGGCCCATCATCCATTAGCTCTCTGACTTCTTGGAAAATGTTCTCCTCCTTAAAAAGGAGGGACCTTTAGTTACTTCCTGACTGAACCCTAATGTTGAAATGCTGATGGCTAATTATGCCACTTCATTACACTAACAAAGGATTTTATGGCCACCAAATAGGTTTCTTGATCACAAAAATAATCGGTTTTAACTGGTTTTGGCCATGATTCTTCCTGAATCATTCCTAGGTATCTTGGAATATCTTGTCAATGCACTGGTTTTCATGTGGTTTTCATGTTACTGGTGAAACATCAACCAAATGCTAATTGCAACAATCTTCCCTTTTCTGCTAATCAGGATGACCTAGAGGTCTCCTAAATGAGTTTCAATGAGAGTTTTAATGAGCAGAGTATTGGAAAATTCAACAGTAGGATCGTCTTGCCTCTTTTCCTTTGAGAATAAGATAAAGTCATAAAACACACTGGGAACAATTTACTTAGTTCATTAAAGCAGAACCCTGCAGTAGGTTATTAAAATGCCAAAGAGCCAATAAATTTGCTGCTTATTAAAATGGTGGGGAAAAAGCCTACAAAACTAATATTCCTGATTATGGCATAGAACAGTTTTAGCCTCATTAGCAGTCTCTGGTCATTAACCTAATCTTCCACACAGAAAATTGTATCATTCAGAAAACAGTCATTTTGAAATTGTATTTTCTTTTGTTTGTCATTAATTAAATGAATCAGTAAGATAGCAAGAGGATACAGCTGCTTCTGTCACACTGGATGAGCTACATGGCAATATGAAGAATTAAATGGCTCTGCAAAATGTGTCATACAGAGTATCAGCCACGTCTCAGTTTTGAATCTAGGAAACAGATTTAAAGTGACTTCTTTCTGTTCATTCTTTACCTATATTATGACACTGTCATATCAAAAGAATTAGCAGGGTTTAACTTTCACACATCTGAATACAGAGAGCACACACAAACTAATTGAACTTTTTTGCATACTTAAAGGTGACCAGTTTCCAAACTAGTTATTCAAACTTTCATACAGGTGATATGCAAATTGCAGGACATATACAGATATGACAGTATCTGTACACTGAGATGATGTCACCTATAATGTCATTTATTTCATAGCCAACTCAGATCTGATAAGGACTTTACTTAGGCCAAATGCCACATTCAAATATCATTCAAATTCAAAACCTATGTCTTCCAGACAAGGTGTGCTCCTTGTAGAAAAAGAAGTGAGCGCATGCTGTAGAGGGGAAGAAGCAGAGGCTGTTAAAATGACAGAAGATCACTGTTCCCACTGTTCCCACTTACCTTCAGATGACTGTAAGCCCTTCTGGAGGTTCAATATTGTCAGCATGGACCTTTGAGGGTCTCTGCCTGTTGATACTTTAAACCATCCCATCCAAAGTAAACCTTTTTTTGTTATTATTTTTGGAACAGCCTTATCAATCTGATAGATTTAAGGCTGTGATGATATGACTAAATGTGATTATATAATAATTAAAATCCATAAAAGGAAGTACTCAAAGCCTTACAGACAAATAGCAAGGCTGAGGTTTGATTCAACAAGAGGATCTGTTAGAACTGTTGTGTTTTACTGTGCTTAAATGTGGAAGTTTTGCAACAGAAGAAGTCTCCAGGAGGAGATATCTGGTGTTGCAGAAGTCCCAGTCCGCAAGTTCAGTTCAAGTAGTTGAAGGGATCAGGAACGAAAAGATCACTTCCAAACTGTTGACTTCAACTGGAGGGCTACACAGGAAGGAGATACCTAAGACCTGCCATCCCTGTTCAATTACTAGTGGAAAAATGGTGGGTGGGAAGCAGAGAAAACACATTTAGAATCACTTCTCACAAACTGTGCTTGCAAGACTCTAAATGTAAGTGACAACCCAGTGGGAACAGAGGAAGAAAATGCACTCACCTCCAATAGGTGGCCCCAGCAGTATTGTACAGCATTCTGCAATGGTGACCAGGCCAACAGCGCTTGTGAACCGGGGAGCTCCCACGAGGTCCATGAGTGTTTCAAAGAGCATGGCACAAACCATGCCAAAAGCCAAGCCAAAAAAGACAGAATAGATGACGAGTCCTGTGTAGCTCGAAGCCAGGGGGCACAGAAGGTGGCATATGCCATTGAAAGCGATGGAGAAGCTGAAAAAGTATTGAATCCGTGGCCTCACCCACTTGCTGTTTGCAATGATGCCAGTGGTAGGGCGGGCAACTATATCCACGATAGCAAGGATTGAAAGGAGGAAAGCGGCTGAATATTCATCAATGCCAATGTGCTTTGCATAGGGTGCCAGAAAAATAATGGGGGCAAAAAAGCCCAGGAACATGAGCACGTTTCCAATCAAGTAAATTAAAAACCCTCTGTGCTTAAAGAGAGAAAAATCAAGGTACTGATTGATTTTTTCACAACAGTCCCTGTCTCCTTCCTCTTCCGTTTTGTTCTTCATGGGCAGGTTTGTGGGACTGCTCATTTCCACGGCATCTTCAGTGACGTCTCGTTTCAGAGCACCCTTCCCTTCCACGGTCACCTGAGTTTTGACTGATGTTGTGCCTGGCCCAATGGGTCTGAAGAGAGCTCCTGCCACACAGCAGTTCAGTAAAATTGCCCCAAGGATTAAAAAGCTGCCTCTCCAGCCAAAACTGTCAAAAAGGAACTGGTTGAGAGGAGCCAGGGTGCAAAGCATCACGGGGCTCCCTGCCATAGCAAGGCCGTTTGCAATGGGTCTTCTCTTCAGAAAGTATTTCCCTATCATTATCACTGATGGCTGGAGGTTGAGAGCAAGGCCCAGTCCTGGAACAGAGAAAAGTAGTTGAGACACAAAGGAAGATAGGAGACCCATTTATCCTCAGCTCATTGTTTAAGGCAAACTTATGAGCAATTGGTTCACTGGTGGCTCTTCAACATGGTAGTCTGGATACAAACTCTGCTCAAAATATCCCTAAGCTAGCATGCGGGTAATGAGATCCCAGGAAGACACTTGCAGTCAGAAAACACTCCTTCCTCTTGCACAGCAAATCTCTTGGATGGCAAACTTATCACAAAGAGTTTGCTTCAGAATAAATTGAAACTATAACTCTCAGTGCGCTGGTTTTGTCCAAACACAGCAGCGTTGCTGCAGGAGAGGATGGATCTGTTAAAAAACAAATGGCAGCTCCCAGTTTGAGGAAGGTTGTTGTGGCTTGGACAGTGCTAACCACCAAACCACAGCCTCCTCAGGTGCATCTTGAGGAGCACCCCCTTCCACAGGTGGTGAGCACCCAACACTGCTGCTGGGCACAGAAAATAACATCACCCTTATCAGCCGCTACTAATGTGGTGGCATGAGGAATTCAGGTCTGATGCAAAAGATGAAGAGGTCTGCAAGTACACAGCAGAACAGCGACTGAGGATGCTAATTAAACAGGGCCCTAGAGTGTTTCTTTTAATTAGAATTTATTTTTATTGCACTTAGATATATAAATGGCATTACAAATTTGCATTGCTAATTCAGTTAGCCAGCTTCCCTTGCACAGGTGAAATCTGAAGGCAAATGCTATCACGGTCTCAACTTTCTGTGTTTCTGTTTGAGAGCACTTGCCTGTAACAATCTCTTCTTTTCAAACATTGCTACAATGTGCAGCATTTCCTTCAAAAGTTCAATTTTCAGAACTCCATCAAAAAGACATTTAAAAAGCATATCACATATTTTCCACCCTATCATCCAGGAAAGAATGAGCCCCATTAGAACAAAGCAGAAATGTAATCCTTGAAGTGATTATATCAGATATATCAGTGATTGTAACATGAATCCCGAAAATAGGGTCATGCAGATTTTTCTTGTTCATTAGTCTATATAATTAGTTTGTTTAACTGTGCAGTACATAATTAGGCATATTGCTTTACAGGAGAGAATTTAGAAAGGTCAAGGTCCTCAAAATTAATTAAGGAACACTATCATTAGTCGCTGATAGAGCACAATCCAACTGATGCAGCAGAACTCAGCTGATGTTGGATAGCTTCAGTTTGAATGGTTTTACAAAATTATGATTTTTACCAAGTCCAAGATTCTTTAAAAATAAATACTTGGAGGTTTGCAGCATTAAAATAAATTGAAATGGCAACAGATTAAAATTAACCTTGATATGAAACATATTCTCAGCATGAACTTCTCTAGATAGTCCATTTATTTGGTAGGGCATATCTTTGGGAAGTACAGGCTGCTCATAATGCATAAGGGGGCAAATTCATCCCCATTAAAGGGCTGACCTGAGGACTACAGACACAAAACACAGCCATGGTTAGAGAAAACCCTTGATGGTGCTCAGATACAGGAATGCAGCTATTTTCACCTGAGAAGATGCAGCACAGTGGATTAGAGTTTGCCTTATCTCCCTATTTCTCCCATGCTGGTAGATAAGGGCAGAAATTGAACCATCATTTCCACAAAATCATTTTTGGTAGGGACTTAGCACATGTCATGCAGAGAAGGAAAAATCAGACACCAGGTTCCTTAAACAATGATCTACTCCATTTTTTTATTATATGAACATTAATTTGCCAGTCAGACAAATCTAATTTAATATTACCTCATGCTCTTCCCATTAATTAAATTTGGAGAGTTTCAAACTGACTGACTGGAATTTCAATTTGCTTTAAGCTTTTGGCTGACTTTAGTTGGAAATATTTATATCCATTTTATTCCAGTTTTCAGAACTACAGCAGCTTTTCCATAGCTGAAATCGTTACTCAAATAACCACATTTTCTCCCCAGGGATATGACAGAAAAGCCTATTGATGGTGTTGCATGAACAGAAGCAAGCCTATGCCAGAAGGTGCATCTCTCCCTGGATTAAATACATCTCCCTCATATTAGAAAGAAATAAGTGGTGCTACAGGAGTAAGCTGTGTAGCTATTGATCTTGTTCTTAACTCATTAGCAAGGGAAGATTCCACAGGTATTTCAATGCTCAACACTTATGGCTAAGGCAAAACCTCTAGTCTCATTAGTCAACATGCCTCACCCTAGGTTCCACTTTATTTCATGGCTGTCTAATTGGTACAGATGGAACTAAACTCTGACCAGTTGTTATTGTCTTGCATTTAGCTTTGAAATTTGCTGCTTCTACCTCAGACTTGAAGAAGGGGTTGCATGCCTAAACACCTATTTAATGCACCCAGGCTGGCATCTATCCAGGTCAACAGCTTGCAAACCCCATCTCTTTTTCTAAGCACTATAGGGAAACACGTGAGGAAGAGAACATGGGTTTTACAGCGTATGCAAAGTGCCTCATGCAGCCCACAGCTCGGTGCCATCAAGAACAGAGCTGCTTCAGAGCAGCAAAGCCTTGTCCCTGCTCTGCATGCAAATGGAAAAAGACATAATCAAGAAAGCAACTGAGACTTCTGTGTCTAATCCCTCCACTGTAAACAGATACTTCCTGCTCTGCCCCTCTGAAGAGATTGCTATTAATATGCCAAAAGCATAGGACTGTGGCAAAGACCTCCTAGTAACAAGTATCTTGTTTTTATCTCCATCCCTGTGAATTACACAAACAGGGTCTTTCACGTCAGCCTGTTTCCTTTTCAGGCTGGTAGGAAGGAGGCTAGAAAGAATGTGATGTTTACAGGTTGCTTTCCAGTCATTGCAAATCATCTTTACAGAAGTCTCTCTCCACTGATGCTGTCTCAGCTGCATGATGAGCAGGCAGCTTCATAATTGCCCTTGAATGCTTCCATGTTAGGCCTGACCAGCAAAAGCACTTCAAGTGCAATTAGAGGCATCAAGCATGTTAGCAGGATTACAAGCATCTTCCCTTCTCTGCCGAATTAGTATTCCTTCCCCAGCTCACACACCATGCCTGGAAATGATGGGTTATTAGCTAAAACCTCATCCATACAGCTGCCCCCATTCAGCAAGCAGGAGGAAAAGATGTACACAACAAAATATGTGCTTTGCTCTGAGGAAATATCACAGCATTAAGCACAAGGAGATACGGGGCTGTTTGCCCTGTATCCTTTTGCTGGCACAAGGGTTACATGTGTGGATCAAGCACAGCTCATACTATCAGCTCTCTGGGGTGAGCAATGGACCAGATTTGTAAAGATATTAGGGAGCAAAGCAGAGCAGGGTGTTCATAAATCCTAGGCCCATTGGAATCAGGCACAGAATTCCCTCCTGGCATGGTTTTAGACAAGTATCTTTGAACACAGGAGTTAGTGTTTTCCTATAGCACTGTTCCTTGCCTGAGCCCTTCCGCTTACCAAAATGCATATATTTTTAGCAAAGGATTTATGGATTCCATGCCCTAATCCAGCATTAGTCAACTTGCTTGAGGACATTTGTTTAGTACAGAATGATGCAAAGCTCATGCATCAATAACTATTGAATTTATTCATGGGAGACATTGGTTATTTTTATTTCTCATTGCTTTGTTTATGGAATCTCTTTCAAGGAATCTGCAAGATTTAGTCATTCAGTAATAACACAGTTTCATCTAACTGCAGTGACTCTACTTGGAAAGATTGAGTTTTAGGAGAGGGAATCCTACACAGGGATTTATTCTCTACTGTATGGATTTAATAAAGCAATATTGGTGTAGGAGAACAGGGTGACAAACTTTCTGTCCCAATTTACTTTGTTAGTGGTTGGTTTTATTGATTTTAAATGTTGAGCTCGTGCTTTTCATGATCAGAAAGCAGCAGCACTTAATACAGCTGCAGAGAGATAGGGAACACTCATTTAAACATATGCCTTGCAACCTCAAAAGCCAATTTTGAACTCATTGTGTCATGTTTTTAGGCAGGTGTTCTCAGTGCACTGGAAGGAACAGTGGATGTACCTTAGCCAAAATTATCAAACAAAAATGCTTACAGTTAAGAATCTATAACTCAGGTTGGGAACTCCAATCCATCTACCTTTAAAAGCAATAACCCAGCACCTGCAGGCTTTCAAGATGCTGGACTGAGCCTATGCCTTCTTCTGTTTAAGTTTCCAATATGGAAATTCATATTTCAGTACAGACAATTCAAACTATAACTTCAATAAGGAAATACAGTCTTATTTTTTCTTAATAGGGAGAATACTGCATCTTTTCAATCAACTCCAGTAGTTGTTATTTTCAGATAACCTCACAAGTAGACAAAGCACAACCAAACACCTGAACTCTCATTTCCTGTATCTCATGGAGGGAAACAACACAGTAATATAGGAACACAGGTGCTTTCTTCATAGTCACAATTCTATCTCGAAGGGCTCGCCATGCCCAGGGCAGAGCGCAGTCAACCTTCATTCACTTCAGCAGGAGCTGAGGGCACTGATGGCCATCCTCACCATTGCCTCCAGCCAAGAGTGCCCATCTGCAAAGAGCAGATCCACTGCTGTGATCCCACACGCGATGTTCAGGAGCACAGCACTTAGCAGGGGATGTGCTCTTCGCTAAAGCTCACCTGGAGCACTTAGTAAGAGAGGGCCCTTGTCCTACCAGCTTTTTATCTCACTTCCCATTGCGTTTGGCTGCAGTGCCCAAGTGTGAACACCCCAAGCCACCAGTTGTGAACCTCAAGTGCACATGGAAAGGAGATGCTTTATTCTTACCTGTAATGAAGCCCACACAGATGTAGAGCTGCATGATACTGGTGCAGAAGGCAGCTGAGACCATCCCAATGCCACACAGCAGGCCTCCAAACATAACCACGGGTCGGCTGCCATAGCGGTTTACTAGAATACTGCTAATGGGACCTGGGGAAAGAGCACAGAATGGTCCTTGAGGTAGGTATCTTCTGACAGAAGGGCATGTTTTACACAAAGGAGGTTAAAATCTGCAATATCAGTGCCCCTGAGATGCTGCTGACAGCTTCTAACATGACTTCAGGAAGAAAATGGAAAAGGAGAGAAAGATGATCCACACTGTGTGGAGATGGCAGCATGTCCCGTGCCACACTGTGTCACTGCTGGTGACAGTTCCTGCCCTCAGGACTTTCAAGTGTCATCAGAGAAGGCAAACAGCAATACCAAATCAGGTGAACACATGATCCCAACATAGGACCTCCTTGATTTATTATGATGCTAAACCATACACACAAAGCAGGGGTTCATATTACTAGGCTGATATCATGAGTACTGTTGCATTTTTAATGCCTCTATTTAATGCAATTCCAATAGTGCTGACCAGAACTGAAGCTTCAGCAGAACAGTTGTTAATTAAATCTTAATAGCAGTCTATGTAGGTAGAAATGGTTTGGGATGATGGATTACCTAGATCTCAAAGGAATCAGTTTGGTCTTGCATTTATGTAAAGAGGTGGTGCAGGACAGTGCAAAATTAAGGAGGAGATAAATGGCTTAACAAAGACTGCACACAAGGAAAGCAAGTGCTGAAATCTGAGGAAGTGAAACACGCCAGCAGCTTTGAGTGGTGAAGGAAAGAAGGGAGGTTTTGTGTATAGTAGTCCCAACTAGCTGAAGGACTAGTACAAATCAGAATCAGAGAATAATCTATGTTGGAGGGACCATGAAGGGACTAAACTCTTGCTCAAAGAAAAGCTAATTCTGAAGGTAGATAAGGTTGAGATGTCAGAACTAGGGAATGCAAACAGAGCAGGAAAGAGTGGTCCAGAAATCAAGCTACGAGATGTAAAGAAAAGATTCTGTATTCCTCAAAAACCCTGAAGCAAAATGCTGCAAAAAAAAAATGCTGGAAATGAGGCAGGGGGCTACAGGCAGCATTTACTATCTTATCTTACCTGACTGGTTCTGGTGCTACTCAGCAATGGTGTTTCAGAGCCCAGTGTGCCTGCTTGCCTTCATTCCTGCCCTTAGGAACAGCCCATGCTGTCCACATACAGATTACTGGAAACAGCTATTTTAAGCTTACAGGCATCTCTGAAGAGTTTGACTGTGGGATCCACCTCACTGCAGAGCCAGTCAGTAGAATATTTACTTTTGCTTAAATAATCTTAGCCAGAAATAGTGCCAGAACTTTTTCCAGACCTTGCAAACCATGGCACACAGGAATGAGACCCAAAAACCCCAATATTCCCTGAGCATGGCTGAGAGCATCTGAACAAGTTCTCAGCTGTTACAATGTGCAAGAATAAAAACCAGTAGATGTGACTGGTTTAATATAGAAAATGTACATATAAAATACTTCCCACTAGATGTCTAAGGTCAAATCACTCCTAAATGAAATACACACAAGCACAGTCTTAACAGCATCCCTGTATCTGCAGGATCTGAGCTGGTCCCATTGAATACACCATTCGATTAACATCTATGTGAGTGTACAATTCCACAGAGAGCTTTTTGTCCTAAACCAGTGACTGGATTCACATCATGCATCTTTTTGCTGCACAGAGCACTACAGAATTCAGTTAAGTTCTGGAGAAAGAGATACATACATCTGATCAGCACAGCAGGAAAGGGACCCCTTTTCTCACTGAGCTTTCCCTGGTCAGAGCTTGGAATTGCATCATGCTTGAGCCAGTGTCAGCGTGTCCTTTAATTAAATAGATCAAGCCAGTGTTCCTCGGAAAGGCACCAACATGTTCATCTGCAGCCTAAGGGCACACAACTCTTCCATTTTTCAATTTTCCACATGTCCATATTTCTCCAGAATCAATCTAATTACTCAACTAAGAAAATATGGTTTCAATTACCTTTTTCCACTGGAAGAGGGCTTTCACATTAGCCCTAAAAATACAGGATGTCCCACCATGGAGCAGAGCATTTAAAGCCCACAGGATTCTTGCTAAGGCCCCTCTCCTACTCTGACACAGGACAGATCGCAGGGAAAGAAGCCCCTGCTATGAGAAGTCAAGCAAAATGTTCATATATGTTCTACTCTTGCAGCATCCACCTTGGGAGAAGGGAAATATGGATCCACAGTGCTCTCACTCAAGTCCACAAGCTCTTGTATTGGTTTCACCCATCAGTTAGGGTGGGTTTGGACCATGACAGCAGATGATGAACTGGAAGGGGATGAGGGTGGGATACATTCTGCTCTGCTTCCTGGCTATGGAGACAACCTGGGATAGAGGCTGGAGCAGATGAAAGCAAAAATTTGTATCCCAACCACTGGCTTTACAAATGGGGGTGTCACTGTGGCACCCCCCACAAACATGCAATGTCCTCAAATACATCCCAAGATGTATTTGAGCCAAGAGACTACAACTGGTCCCTGCTCTTGTATTGTGTGATCTCTTGGCAATGTGTTTCAGCAGTGATCTTCAGCAAACAGCCTTCATCTCCTGTAATGAGCATTCAGTTTTACAGGGGGATAATCAACCCCACTTGTTTGCCAGTCTGGGTGGGAGAGCTGTGGTCTCAAAGGCATTACCTGCCTGGGCTGGGCTGAGCTCTCAGGGAACTGTGATGAACTTCAGAAGCAACATCAGCCTTTCTCCTTCACAGACTGAAACCTTACATCCAGACACAGTGGGCCTGCTTTGCTAAAGACACAAAGCATACAGGATCACAGCACACTCTTGTGAGTGACAGCATTTGATCTTCCTGACCAGCCTCACCCACATAGGACTGAGGGTTGGAGACCTTCAAGATACTGAATGCAGCCAGTTAAAGGAGAAAACAGTAGCAGAGCACTGGGACTAAACCTTTCTAGCCATCAGAGAATCCACAGCGAAGGCCATGATGAGCACTCAGCCTGCAAGGAAAGCACCATCTAGACCATCCCATGCTTTAGGAGACACCAGAGAATCCAACCCAAGGACTCAAAACAATTGGGAAACCAAACTGCCCTGAGCTGCTGCTCACAGGCCAAAGGTTTTATAACAGTCCTGAGCAGACCTTTCAAACGCACTGAAGCAAATGCGAAATCACATCCCCAAAATTACTTCCACTCAAGTCATTTGGTCCTACAGAAAATCATAGGCTTTAATGGAGCAGCCTTTCAAAAGCTGTCCCATCTCTCAGCAGAAACCGAGTGTGTGCAGTATGTCACATAGCTGCTGTGCACACTTCAGCATGCAAACCCTGCCGGTTTGGGCAGGCACATGAAGCACAGACACGTGCACCTTCACCCTGCCCAGACGTCTTCACTGATCAGCATCACACCCAACAGATGTAAATGCACCTCTCCTGCCCTGCTCTGCCACATGCCACCTGCAGCGTGTCTCTGGCAAGGGGCTTATTAGCTATCAGACATTAGATAACTTCAACAGCAGCCTTGTGGGGAGCTCTGGAAAACATCAAATAGCTCAAGTCAGGGCAGAGGAATTAAGGAGAGGGAACAACAAAGCCCACAGCTTTGGGAAGTTGTGGGAAATGGGAAACACGATTACTGCTTTGCTTGCAGCTATTGCACAAATTAAAAGTATGACAGCCCCTGGAAACACGGTGGAATTGAAAAGCAGGACCTGTCATTTACCAGTTATTTAGCCAGCATAAAACGAATAAAGATGCTGTGTATTACCACCCAGAAACCATTTACAGTCACAACGTGTGCAGCTTAGATCCCAAGGCACCTTTATTTGCTAATACCTGCCTGGTCAAATGTGCAGAAACCACAGGCTCCCTTGTCCTGGCACCCAAACTAAATCATTCTTCCTTCCTGCGAGCCAGGAGAAGCCATCAGGACTTGGGGTGACTTTTACTTCTTAATTTACAGAGGCAGGTGAGGACAGCACAAGCTCTCAGAAAGATGATATTTACCTGGCTTCACCTTGCGGAACCAGCTACATGAATGCTGCCCGAGTCCCTGAAAAGTCATAGCAAGGAGCAAAAGCTTTCTCATCTCCAGTGCACAGCTTCTCTGGGACCAGGGCTAGTGTCACCCAGGCAGCACTGTTCCCACAACCCCACCACCATGTCAGCACTGCAACATCTAATGAGGAAATTAGAAGTAAAATTTAATCACCCCTTTGTAACCAAATACATTTCAAGGACAAGGTGCTTCACTGCAGGAAGAGATGGCACTTCCACCCACCCAGCCTTGGGAAACAAGGCAGCCCCTTCCACAAACCAGCAAGTGGTTTCTTCCCTCCTGACCAACTTCCAGCCATCATTTATCACCTATAACAAAGAGAGATGCTGAGCCTCATCCTGCTGCTGGCTTTGTTGAGAGCTGTGCCCATGGCTCCGCACCTCCTCTGGCTCACAGGGCAGTCCTGGAAGGGCACGTGGTCTCCAGTGGGGCCACCACCATCCCCACCGGCAAGGAAAGAGCAAGGAAAGCCCACTCAAGCACTTCACTTTACACCCCAATCCCTTGCAGAACAGGGTGCACACAAGAAGAGTTTACTGCAGTAAAACCCTGCAGTCAGGAGAGCAGCAGCTTACAGCAAATATCCCCGAAAGATGTAGCCGGGATCATGGCATTCCTGACAGACTGATGCAGTGTAAAGCGCTATCCTCAACCCATATAAATCATGCTGGTTTAGTGCCTGTCCTGTATAAAGCCTCTTTCCTCATACCTGTGGCAGATTTCCATTTGTTGTTAGCTGGTACATGAAAGGCCATGTCAAAGAAGCTGATCTTGGTGGCAAGCAAAACATAGCAGCTCGCCAGTGGGAAACACAGCAAGCCCTGTCTCATTTATTAGCTTGTCCAATTACTTCTCACCTTGAGTTTTGTGTTTGTAGAAGTAAAAAGGACCCTGAAGAGGAGTTTGCAAAACCATAAAGAAAATGCAGAATCCTGTGGTCTCCACAAAGCCGGGCCATTTGTTATTTATTCTTTCTGAGCTGCTGAACTATGATCCAAAGAAGATCATAATACAGAGTTGGC